ACCGCTCTATCGGGGTCAACATCCTCTGACCGCTCTATCGGGGGCAACATCCTCTGACCGCTCTATCGGGGGGCAACATCCTCTGACCGCTCTATCGGGGGTCAACATCCTCTGACCGCTCTATCGGGGTCAACATCCTCTGACCGCTCTACTCGGGTCAACATCCTCTGACCGCTCTATCAGGGTCAACATCCTCTGACCGCTCTATCGGGGGTCAACATCCTCTGACCGCTCTATCGGGGGTCAACATCCTCTGACCGCTCTATCGGGGGTCAACATCCTCTGACCTCTCTATCGGGGGTCAACATCCTCTGACCTCTCTATCGGGGGTCAACATCCTCTGACCGCTCTATCGGGGGTCAACATCCTCTGACCGCTCTATCGGGGGTCAACATCCTCTGACCGCTCTATCGGGGGTCAACATCTCTACCTCTGACCGCTCTATCGGGGGTCAACATCCTCTGACCTCTCTATCGGGGGTCAACATCCTCTGACCTCTCTATCGGGGGTCAACATCCTCTGACCGCTCTATCGGGGGTCAACATCCTCTGACCGCTCTATCGGGGGTCAACATCCTCTGACCGCTCTATCGGGGGTCAACATCCTCTGACCTCTCTATCGGGGTCAACATCCTCTGACCCGCTCTATCGGGGGTCAACATCCTCTGACCGCTCTATCGGGGGTCAACATCCTCTGACCTCTCTATCGGGGTCAAAATCCTCTGACCTAGCTCTATCGGGGGTCAACATCCTCTGACCGCTCTATCGGGGGTCAACATCCTCTGACCCTCTATCGGGGGTCAAAAATTGACCTCTGACCGCTCTATCGGGGGTCAACATCTCTGACCGCTCTATCGGGGTCACATCCTCTGACCGGCTCTAATCGGGGTCAACAATCCTCTGTGTGCCCCTCTACGGTCACCATCCTCTGACCGCTCTACGGGGTCACAGCCTCTGACCCGCTCTATCGGGGGTCAACATCCTCTGACCTCTCTTCGGGGTCAACATCCTCTGACCGCTCTATCGGGGTCAACATCCTCTGACGCTCTATCGTGGTCAACATCCTCTGACCTCTCTATCGGGTCACCATCCTCTGACCGCTCTATCGGGTCAACATCCTCTGACCTCTCTATCGGGGTCAACATCCTCTGACTGCTCTATCGGGGGTCAACTTGGATGGAAAATTACTGAGGATAATAATGGACGATATTACCACTGCTATTTGCCATATCTTCGATTTAAGCCTACTAGAAAGTGTGTGCCCTCAGGCTTGGAGGGAAGCAAAAGTCATTCCGTTACCCAAGAATAGTAAAGCCCCCTTTACTGGCTCAAATAGCCGACCAATCAGCCTGTTACCAACCCAAAAATTGTTTGACCACATACAATGCTACAGTGAGGGAAATATGTATTTGATCCCTTGCTGATTTTGTACATTTGCCCACTGACAAAGAAATGATCAGTCTATAATTTTAATGGTAGGTTTATTTGAACAGTGAGAGACAGAATAACAACAAAAAAATCCAGAAAAACACATTTCAAAAATGTTATAAATTGATTTGCATTTTAATGAGGGAAATAAGTATTTGACCCCTCTGCAAAACATGACTTAGTACTTGGTGGCAAAACCCTTGTTGGCAATCACAGAGGTCCCATCTCTCGTACTGTGTCTCAACCACAGTAGTAGGTATCACAGCAATGAAACCAAGAAACTCTCTAGAAACCAAAAGCTCTGAAAGTGCTGGACAAAAAACCAAACACATACAGTTGAAGTCGGAAGTTTACACTGTATATACAGTCGGAAGTTTACATACACCTTAGCCAAATACATTTAAACTCAGTTTTTCACAATTCCTGACATTTAATCCTAGTAAAAATTCCCTGTTTTAGGTCAGTTAGGATCACCACTTTATTTTAAGAATGTCAGAATAATAGTAGAGAGAGATTTATTTCAGCTTTTATTTATTTCATCACAGAAGTTTACATACACTCAATTAGTATTTGGTAGCATTGCCTTTAAATTGTTTAACTTGGGTCAAACGTTTCGGGTAGCCTTCCACAAGCTTCCCACAATAAGTTGGGTGAATTTTGGCCCATTCCTCCTGACAGAGCTGGTGTAACTGAGTTAGGTTTGTAGGCCTCCTTGCTCGCACACACTTTTTCAGTTCTGCCCACAAATGTTCTATAGGGTTGAGGTCAGGGCTTTGTGTTGGCCACTCCAATACATTGACTTTGTTGTCCTTAAGCCATTTTGGCACAACTTTGGAAGTATGCTTGGGGTCATTGTCCATTTGGAAGACCCATTTGCGACCAAGCTTTAACTTCCTGACTGATGTCTTGAGATGTTGCTTCAATATATCCACATAATTTTCCTTCCTCATGATGCCATCTATTTTGTGAAGTGCACCAGTCCCTCCTGCAGCAAAGCACCCCCACAGCATGATGCTGCCACCCCCGTGCTTCACGGTTGGGATGGTGTTCTTCGGCTTGCAAGCGACCCCCTTTTTCCTCCAAACATAACGATGGTCATTATGGCCAAACAGTTATATTTTTGTTTCATCAGACCAGAGGACATTTCTCCAAAAAGTATGATCTTTGTCCCCATGTGCAGTTGCAAACCGTAGTCTGGCTTTTATGCGGTTTTGGAGCAGTGGCTTCTACCTTGCTGAGCGGCCTTTCAATATGATGTGATGAAAGAAACAAAATATGAAATAAATCATTCTCTCTACTATTATTCTGACATTTCACATTCTTAAAATAAAGTGGTGATCCTAACTAGGATTAAATGTCAGGAATTGTGGAAAAACTGAGTTTAAATGTACTTGGCTAAGGTGTATGTAAACTTCCGACTTCAACTGTATATACCTAGTATATATACAAAAGTCTGTGGACACCCCTTCAAATTAGTGGATTCGGCTATTTCAGTCACACACGTTGCTGACAGGTGTATAAGATTGAGCGCACAGCCATGCAATCTCCATAGACAAACATTGGCAGTAGAATGGCCTTACTGAAGAGCTCAGTGACTTTCAACGTGGTACTGTCATAGGATGCCACCTTTCCAACAAGTCAGTTCATTAAATTCCTGCCCTGCTAGAGCTGCCCTGGTCAACTGTAAGTGCTGTTATTGTGAAGTGGCAACGTCTAGGAGCAACAACGGCTCAGCCGCGAAGTGGTAGACCACACAAGCTCACAGAATGTGGACCGCCGAGTGCTGAAGCACGTACGTCTGTCCTCGGTTGCAACACTCACTACCGAGTTCCAAACTGCCTCTGGAAGCAACGTCAGCACAATAACTGTTTGTCGGGAGCTTCATGAAATGGGTTTCCACGGCCTAAGATAACAATGCGCAATGCCAAGCGTCGGCTGGAGTGGTGTAAAGCTCGCAGCCATTGGACTCTGGAGCAGTGGAAACGCGTTCTCTGGAGTGATGAATCATGCTTCACCATATGGCAGTCCGACAGATGAATCTGGGTTTGACGGATGCCTTGAGAACGCTACCTGCCCCAATGCATAGTGCCAACTGTAAAGTTTGGTGGAGGAGGAATAATGGTCTGGGGCTGTTTTTCAGTGTTCGGGTTAGGCCCCTTAGTTCCAGTGAAGGGAAATCTTAACTCTGGAGCTCTTTCAGAGTGACCATCGGGTTCATGGTCACCTCTCTGACCAAGGTCCTTCTCCCCCGATTGCTCAGTTTGGAAGGGCGGCCAGCTCAAGGAAGAGTCTTGGTGGTTCCAAACTTCTTCCATTTAAGAATGATGGAGGCCACTGTGTTCTTGGGGACCTTCAAGACTCTGCATGCAGAATCCTCTGTGTACAACAGAAAACACAAAATAATGCATGCAGAGCAGAATTAGGCCGATACCCGCTATTTATCAAAATCCAGAAAAGAGCCGTTAAATTCTATAACCACTTAAAAGGAAGCAATGCCCAAACCTTCCATAACAAAGCCATCACCTACAGAGAGATGAACTTGGAGAAGAGTCCCTCCCCTAAGCAAGCTGGTCCTGGGGCTCTGTTCACAAACAGACCTCACAGAGCCCCAGGACAGCAACACAATTAGACCCAACCAAATCATGAGAAAACAAAAAGAGAATTACTTGACACATTGGAAAGAAATTGCAAAAAACTGAGCAAACTAGAATGCTATTTGGCTCTAAACAGAGAGTACACAGTGGCAGAATACCTGACCACTGTGACTGACCCAAACTTAAGGAAAGCTTTGACTATGTAAAGACTCAGTGAACATAGCCTTGCTATTGAGAAAGGCCGCCGTAGGCAGACCTGGCTCTCAAGAGAAGACAGGCTATGTGCACACTGCCCACAAAATGAGGTGGAAACTGAGCTGCACTTCCTAACCTCCTGCCAAATGTATGACCATATTAGAGACACATATTTCCCTCAGATTATACAGATCCACAAAGAATTCGAAAAAACAAACCCATTTTTGATCAACTCCCTTATCTACTGGGTGAAGGATGCAGAGAGAGGATGCTGGCCCTGTTGTACTGAGGCTGAGTGTCTAGGCTGCAGTGTATTCACAGACCCCTTGACTTTTTCCACATTTTGTTAAATTACAACCTTATTCTAAATTAATTTTTTCCTCATCAATCTATACACAATACCCAATAATGACGAAGCGAAAACAGGATATTAGAAATCTTAGCACATTTATAAAAAAATTAAAATCTCCAGGTGGTCCTAACCTCTCTCCAGGTGGTCCTAACCTCTCTCCAGGTGGTCCTAACCTCTCTCCAGGTGGTCCCTCCCTCTCTCCAGGTGGTCCTAACCTCTCTCCAGGTGGTCCCTCCCTCTCTCCAGGTGGTCCTAACCTCTCTCCAGGTAGTCCTAACCTCTCTCCAGGTGGTCCCTCCCTCTCTCCAGGTGGTCCCTCCCTCTCTCCAGGTGGTCCTAACCTCTCTCCAGGTGGTCCTAACCTCTCTCCAGGTGGTCCCTCCCTCTCTCCAGGTGGTCCTAACCTCTCTCCAGGTAGTCCCTCCCTCTCTCCAGGTGGTCCCTCCCTCTCTCCAGGTGGTCCTAACCTCTCTCCAGGTGGTCCCTCCCTCTCTCCAGGTGGTCCCTCCCTCTCTCCAGGTGGTCCTAACCTCTCTCCAGGTGGTCCTAACCTCTCTCCAGGTGGTCCTAACCTCTCTCCAGGTGGTCCTAACCTCTCTCCAGGTGGTCCTAACCTCTCTCCAGGTGGTCCTAACCTTTGATGTATGTTCCCTCCCTCCCTCTCTCCAGGTGGTCCTATGGGGTGCTGCTCTGGGAGATCTTCACCCTGGGGGGGTCCCCGTACCCCGGCATCCCTGTCGAGGAGCTGTTCAAACTGCTGAATGAGGGCCACCGCATGGACAAGCCTGCTAACTGCACACATGAACTGTACGTCATGTTTATACACTATCATATAGACATGGATCATGAGGGAGTGTTGTATTGTAACTGTTGTGTCTCTGTAGGTATATGATCATGAGGGAGTGTTGTATTGTAACTGTTGTGTCTCTGTAGGTATATGATCATGAGGGAGTGTTGTATTGTAACTGTTGTGTCTCTGTAGGTATATGATCATGAGGGAGTGTTGTATTGTAACTGTTGTGTCTCTGTAGGTATATGATCATGAGGGAGTGTTGTATTGTAACTGTTGTGTCTCTGTAGGTATATGATCATGAGGGAGTGTTGTATTGTAACTGTTGTGCCTCTGTAGGTATATGATCATGAGGGAGTGTTGTATTGTAACTGTTGTGTCTCTGTAGGTATATGATCATGAGGGAGTGTTGTATTGTAACTGTTGTGTCTCTGTAGGTATATGATCATGAGGGAGTGTTGTATTGTAACTGTTGTGTCTCTGTAGGTATATGATCATGAGGGAGTGTTGTATTGTAACTGTTGTGTCTCTGTAGGTATATGATCATGAGGGAGTGTTGTATTGTAACTGTTGTGTCTCTGTAGGTATATGATCATGAGGGAGTGCTGGCACGCTGTTCCATCCCAGAGGCCTACCTTCAGGCAGCTGGTGGAAGACCATGACAGGGTTCTATCCATGACCTCCACGGACGTAAGTCACAACTATTACTGTAACTCTAACCCCAGATTACTGTAACCCTAACCCCAGATTACTGTAACCCTAACCCCAGATTACTCTAACCCTAACCCCAGATTACTGTAACTCTAACCCCAGATTACTGTAACCCTAACCCCAGATTACTGTAACCCTAACCCCAGATTACTCTAACCCTAACCCCAGATTACTCTAACCCTAACCCCAGATTACTCTAACCCTAACCCCAGATTACGCTAACCCTAACCCCAGATTACTGTAACCCTAACCCCAGATTACTGTAACCCTAACCCCAGATTACTGTAACCCTAACAACCAGATTACTGTAACTCTAACCCCAGATTACTGTAACCCTAACCCCAGATTACTGTAACCCTAACCCCAGATTACTGTAACTCCAACCCCAGATTACTGTAACCCTAACCCCAGATTACTCTAACCCTAACCCCAGATTACTGCAACCCTAACCCCAGATTACTGTAACTCTAACCCCAGATTACTGTAACCCTAACCCCAGATTACTCTAACCCTAACCCCAGATTACTGTAACCCTAACCCCAGATTACTGTAACTCTAACCCCAGATTACTGTAACCCTAACCCCAGATTACTCTAACCCTAACCCCAGATTACTGCAACTCTAACCCCAGATTACTGTAACCCTAACCCCAGATTACTCTAACCCTAACCCCAGATTACTGTAACCCTAACCCCAGATTACTGTAACTCTAACCCCAGATTACTGTAACCCTAACCCCAGATTACTGTAACCCTAACCCCAGATTACTCTAACCCTAACCCCAGATTACTCTAACCCTAACCCCAGATTACTGTAACCCTAACCCCAGATTACTGTAACCCTAACCCCAGATTACTGTAACCCTAACCCCAGATTACTGTAACCCTAACCCCAGATTACTGTGATTCTACCCCCAAGCCATAAGACTCCTGAACAGCTAATCATTGCTACCCGGACTATTTGCAGATAACCCTCTTGAACCCCAGTGTCCAAATAACCCTCTTGAACCCCAGTGTCCAAATAACCCTCTTGAACCCCAGTGTCCAAATAACCCTCTTGAACCCCAGTGTCCAAATAACCCTCTTGAACCCCAGTGTCCAAATAACCCTCTTTGACCCCAGTGTCCAAATAACCCTCTTTGACCCCAGTGTCCAAATAACCCTCTTTGACCCCAGTGTCCAAATAACCCTCTTTGACCCCAGTGTCCAAATAACCCTCTTTGACCCCAGTGTCCAAATAACCCTCTTTGACCCCAGTGTCCAAATAACCCTCTTTGACCCCAGTGGGTAATTAACCATCTTGGACCCCAGTGGGTAATTAACCATCTTGGACCTCTCTGTTCTAATGCTGTGTGTTGTGTTGGTTCCTTCAGGAGTACCTGGACCTGTCTGTTCTAATGCTGTGTGTTGTGTTACTACAGGAGTATCTGGACCTGTCTGTTCTAATGCTGTGTGTTGTGTTACTACAGGAATACCTGGACCTGTCTGTTCTAATGCTGTGTGTTGTGTTGGTTCCTTCAGGAGTACCTGGACCTGTCTGTTCTAACACTGTGTGTTGTGTTACTACAGGAGTATCTGGACCTGTCTGTTCTAATGCTGTGTGTTGTGTTACTACAGGAATACCTGGACCTGTCTGTTCTAATGCTGTGTGTTGTGTTGGTTCCTTCAGGAGTACCTGGACCTGTCTGTTCTAATGCTGTGTGTTGTGTTACTACAGGAATACCTGGACCTGTCTGTCCTAATGCTGTGTGTTGTGTTGGTTCCTTCAGGAGTACCTGGACCTGTCTGTTCTAATGCTGTGTGTTGTGTTGGTTCCTTCAGGAGTACCTGGACCTGTCTGTTCTAATGCTGTGTGTTGTGTTGGTTCCTTCAGGAGTACCTGGACCTGTCTGTTCTAATGCTGTGTGTTGTGTTACTACAGGAGTACCTGGACCTGTCTGTTCTAATGCTGTGTGTTGTGTTACTACAGGAGTACCTGGACCTGTCTGTTCTAATGCTGTGTGTTGTGTTGGTTCCTTCAGGAATACCTGGACCTGTCTGTTCTAATGCTGTGTGTTGGTTCCTTCAGGAGTACCTGGACCTGTCTGTTCTAATGCTGTGTGTTGTGTTACTACAGGAGTACCTGGACCTGTCTGTTCTAACACTGTGTGTTGTGTTACTACAGGAGTACCTGGACCTGTCTGTTCTAATGCTGTGTGTTGTGTTACTACAGGAGTACCTGGACCTGTCTGTTCTAATGCTGTGTGTTGTGTTACTACAGGAATACCTGGACCTGTCTGTTCTAATGCTGTGTGTTGTGTTGGTTCCTTCAGGAGTACCTGGACCTGTCTGTTCTAATGCTGTGTGTTGTGTTACTACAGGAGTACCTGGACCTGTCTGTTCTAATGCTGTGTGTTGTGTTACTACAGGAATACCTGGACCTGTCTGTTCTAACACTGTGTGTTGTGTTACTACAGGAGTACCTGGACCTGTCTGTTCTAATGCTGTGTGTTGTGTTGGTTCCTTCAGGAGTACCTGGACCTGTCTGTTCTAACACTGTGTGTTGTGTTACTACAGGAATACCTGGACCTCTCTGTTCTAATGCTGTGTGTTGTGTTGGTTCCTTCAGGAGTACCTGGACCTGTCTGTTCTAATGCTGTGTGTTGTGTTGGTTCCTTCAGGAGTACCTGGACCTGTCTGTTCTAATGCTGTGTGTTGTGTTGGTTCCTTCAGGAATACCTGGACCTGTCTGTTCTAATGCTGTGTGTTGTGTTACTACAGGAGTACCTGGACCTGTCTGTTCTAATGCTGTGTGTTGTGTTACTACAGGAATACCTGGACCTCTCTGTTCTAATGCTGTGTGTTGTGTTGGTTCCTTCAGGAATACCTGGACCTGTCTGTTCTAATGCTGTGTGTTGTGTTACTACAGGAGTACCTGGACCTGTCTGTTCTAATGCTGTGTGTTGTGTTACTACAGGAGTACCTGGACCTGTCTGTTCTAATGCTGTGTGTTGTGTTACTACAGGAGTACCTGGACCTGTCTGTTCTAATGCTGTGTGTTGTGTTGGTTCCTTCAGGAGTACCTGGACCTGTCTGTTCTAACACTGTGTGTTGTGTTACTTCAGGAATACCTGGACCTGTCTGTTCTAATGCTGTGTGTTGGTTCCTTCAGGAATACCTGGACCTGTCTGTTCTAATGCTGTGTGTTGTGTTGGTTCCTTCAGGAGTACCTGGACCTGTCTGTTCTAATGCTGTGTGTTGTGTTACTACAGGAGTACCTGGACCTGTCTGTTCTAATGCTGTGTGTTGTGTTACTACAGGAGTACCTGGACCTGTCTGTTCTAACACTGTGTGTTGTGTTGGTTCCTTCAGGAATACCTGGACCTGTCTGTTCTAATGCTGTGTGTTGTGTTGGTTCCTTCAGGAGTACCTGGACCTGTCTGTTCTAATGCTGTGTGTTGTGTTGGTTCCTTCAGGAATACCTGGACCTGTCTGTTCTAATGCTGTGTGTTGTGTTACTACAGGAGTATCTGGACCTGTCTGTTCTAACACTGTGTGTTGTGTTACTACAGGAATACCTGGACCTGTCTGTTCTAATGCTGTGTGTTGTGTTGGTTCCTTCAGGAGTACCTGGACCTGTCTGTTCTAATGCTGTGTGTTGTGTTACTACAGGAGTATCTGGACCTGTCTGTTCTAATGCTGTGTGTTGTGTTACTACAGGAATACCTGGACCTGTCTGTTCTAATGCTGTGTGTTGTGTTACTACAGGAGTACCTGGACCTGTCTGTTCTAATGCTGTGTGTTGTGTTGGTTCCTTCAGGAGTACCTGGACCTGTCTGTTCTAATGCTGTGTGTTGTGTTGGTTCCTTCAGGAGTACCTGGACCTGTCTGTTCTAATGCTGTGTGTTGTGTTGGTTCCTTCAGGAATACCTGGACCTGTCTGTTCTAACACTGTGTGTTGTGTTGGTTCCTTCAGGAATACCTGGACCTGTCTGTTCTAATGCTGTGTGTTGTGTTACTACAGGAGTACCTGGACCTGTCTGTTCTAACACTGTGTGTTGTGTTACTACAGGAGTACCTGGACCTGTCTGTTCTAATGCTGTGTGTTGTGTTACTACAGGAGTACCTGGACCTGTCTGTTCTAATGCTGTGTGTTGTGTTACTACAGGAATACCTGGACCTGTCTGTTCTAATGCTGTGTGTTGTGTTGGTTCCTTCAGGAGTACCTGGACCTGTCTGTTCTAACACTGTGTGTTGTGTTACTACAGGAGTACCTGGACCTGTCTGTTCTAATGCTGTGTGTTGTGTTGGTTCCTTCAGGAGTACCTGGACCTGTCTGTTCTAATGCTGTGTGTTGTGTTACTACAGGAGTACCTGGACCTGTCTGTTCTAACACTGTGTGTTGTGTTACTACAGGAGTACCTGGACCTGTCTGTTCTAATGCTGTGTGTTGTGTTGGTTCCTTCAGGAGTACCTGGACCTGTCTGTTCTAATGCTGTGTGTTGTGTTACTACAGGAGTACCTGGACCTGTCTGTTCTAACACTGTGTGTTGTGTTGGTTCCTTCAGGAATACCTGGACCTGTCTGTTCTAATGCTGTGTGTTGTGTTGGTTCCTTCAGGAGTACCTGGACCTGTCTGTTCTAATGCTGTGTGTTGTGTTGGTTCCTTCAGGAGTACCTGGACCTGTCTGTTCTAATGCTGTGTGTTGTGTTGGTTCCTTTAGGAGTACCTGGACCTGTCTGTCCCGTTTGAGCAGTACTCTCCAACCTGCCAGGACTCCAGCAGCACCTGTTCCTCAGGAGACGACTCAGTGTTCGCCCACGACCCCCTCCCAGACGAACCCTGCTTCCCCAAACTGATCCAGGGAAACGAACCATGTCTCCCAAACCCTGTCAAACTGCTGCAGACCAATGGGGTGATCAGGACATAGATCTTTGAACCTCCACCAGATATGGAAACAGAACAGTGCATGCACTACTGCAGACCAATGGGGTGATCAGGACATAGATCTTTGAACCTCCACCAGATATGGAAACAGAACAGGGCATGCACTACTTCCAGAGTGCTTCAGATATGTTTGTGTTCCTACTCTTGTTAGAAATTAAATGTAGTACAAACTGACACGTTTTTAAAAGACTCTTTGCATTGAAGGATGGATTATTATTATTATTATTATTATTTATTTAGCATGTTTTTTTTTTCTTCTTTAAAATGAAAATGTATATTTTTGTACTTGGTCTTTAGTTAATCAATCCGATGGGTCACACCAAAGCCAGTCAGCCCCTTCAGTCAGCCCCTTCAGTCACACCACACCCAGTCAGCCCCTTCAGTCAGCCCCTTCAGTCAGCCCCTTCAGTCACACCATACCCAGTCAGCCCCTTCAGTCAGCCCCTTCAGTCACACCACACCCAGTCAGCCCCTTCAGTCAGCCCCTTCAGTCAGCCCCTTCAGTCAGCCCCTTCAGTCACACCACACCCAGTCAGCTCCTTCAGTCACACCACACCCAGTCAGCTCCTTCAGTCAGCCCCTTCAGTCAGCCCCTTCAGTCAGCCCCTTCAGTCACACCACACCCAGTCAGCCCCTTCAGTCAGCCCCTTCAGTCAGCCCCTTCAGTCACACCATACCCAGTCAGCCCCTTCAGTCAGCCCCTTCAGTCAGCCCCTTCAGTCAGCCCCTTCAGTCACACCACACCCAGTCAGCCCCTTCAGTCAGCCCCTTCAGTCACACCACACCCAGTCAGCCCCTTCAGTCAGCCCCTTCAGTCACACCACACCCAGTCAGCCCCTTCAGTCAGCCCCTTCAGTCACACCATACCCAGTCAGCCCCTTCAGTCAGCCCCTTCAGTCACACCACACCCAGTCAGCCCCTTCAGTCAGCCCCTTCAGTCAGCCCCTTCAGTCAGCCCCTTCAGTCACACCATACCCAGTCAGCCCCTTCAGTCAGCCCCTTCAGTCAGCCCCTTCAGTCAGCCCCTTCAGTCACACCACACCCAGTCAGCCCCTTCAGTCACACCATACCCAGTCAGCCCCTTCAGTCAGCCCCTTCAGTCAACTCCTTCAGAAGGAGAGAAATATAGATGGGGGAGGTTTCTATGTATCTTTGAAAAGTTGTTATTGTAAATATATAAACTCAAATATGTATCATATTGCTTCCACGTACTTAAAATCATTTCCTAAAATATTGTTTTCGAATCAAAGCATTGCAATACACTGTCATGAGCATGTAATCATTTAAAGTGATACAAAATGTTTATTTTAATAATTAACATGTATATTTGTAAAGATATTTATAGACTTAACATGTTGTTCATCTAGTTTAGGATGTTAGTACTGTAAGCAAATATTTTTTATTTCTTTTTTTGTAACTTATTTGACAACAGAACAACATTATTTTCACAACTGGCAGATTTTATTTCTGCCGTTTTTTTATCCATCTTTTTTTATTTTACAGTAAAAGAATAAAGAATGTATGAAAGAATTTAAGCAATTTCAATGAGCAGAGCAGGACAAGGAAACTTAGCGCTATGAACTGTTGATCTAGGGTGTGAAACATTATTGAGCGTTACCTTGGTTACCTTGGTTACCTTGGTTACCTTGGTAGCAAAATTTACTTTTGCAACATCAAAGCGACAAGTAACTCTTGCTGGGGAAGAAGAAGAAGAAGAGGAAGAAGAGGAAGAAGAGGAAGAAGAAGAGGAAGAAGAAGCCGCCAGAGAGGGTTTTAGTAACATTATTGCTAAATGTCACATTTATTTCACTGCTTTTTACGTTTTAATTATGTTTTCCCATGCTAGTTCTAGACGTAATAGTCTTCATCCAATATATTATTTAAACTCTTACAGTGAGGGAAAAAAGTATTTGATCCCCTGCAGATTTTGTACGTTTGCCCACTGACAAAGAAATGATCAGTCTATAATTTTATGGTAGGTTTATTTGAACAGTGAGAGACAGAATAACAACAAAAAATAAATTGATTTGCATTTTAATGAGGGAAATAAGTATTTGACCCCCTCTCAATCTGAAAGATGTCTGGCTCCCAGGTGTCTTTTATACAGGTAACGAGCTGAGATTAGGAGCACACTTAAAGGGAGTGCTCCTAATCTCAGCTTGTTACCTATATAAAAGACACCTGTGCACAGAAGCAATCAATCAATCAGGTTCCAAACTCTCCACAAGAGCTCTCCAAGGATGTCAGGGATAAGATTGTAGACCTACACAAGGCTGGAATGGGCTACAAGACCATCGCCAAGCAGCTTGGTGAGAAGGTGACAACAGTTGGTGCGATTATTCGCAAATGGAAGAAACACAAAATAACTGTTAATCTCCCTCGGCCTGGGGCTCCATGCAAGATCTCACCTCGTGGAGTTGCAATGATCATGAGAACGGTGAGGAATCAGCCCAGAACTACACGGGAGGATCTTGTCAATGATCTCAAGGCAGCTGGGACCATAGTCACCAAGAAAATAATTGGTAACACACTACGCCGTGAAGGACTGAAATCCTGCAGCGCCCACAACGTCCCCCTGCTCAAGAAAGCACATATACAGGGCCGTCTGAAGTTTGCCAATGAACATCTGAATGATTCAGAGGAGAACTGGGTGAAAGTGTTGTGGTCAGATGAGACCAAAATCGAGCTCTTTGGCATCAACTCAACTCACTGTGTTTGGAGGAGGAGGAATGCTGCCTATGACCCCAAGAACACCATCCCCACCGTCAAACATGGAGGTGGAAACATTATGCTTTGGGGGTATTTTTCTGCTAAGGGGACAGGACAATTTCACCGCATCAAAGGGACGATGGACGGCGCCATGTACCGTCAAATCTTGGGTGAGAACCTCCTTCCCTCAGCCAGGGCATTGAAAATGGGTCGTGGATTGGTATTCCAGCATGACAATGACCCAAAACACATGGCCAAGGCAACAAAGGAGTGGCTCAAGAAGAAGCACATTAAGGTCCTGGAGTGGCCTAGCCAGTCTCCCGACATTAATCCCATAGAAAATCTGTGGAGGGAGCTGAAGGTTCGAGTTGCCAAACGTCAGCCTCGAAACCTTAATGACTTGGAGGAGATCTGCAAAGAGGAGTGGGACAAAATCCCTCCTGAGATGTGTGAAAACCTGGTGGCCAACTACAAGAAACGTCTGACCTCTGTGATTGCCAACAAGGGTTTTGCCACCAAGTACTAAGTCATGTTTTGCAGAGGGGTCAAATACTTATTTCCCTCATTAAAATGCAAATCAATTTATAACATTTTTGACATGTGTTTTTCTGGATTCTTTTGTTGTTATTCTGTCTCTCACTGTTCTAATAAACCTACCATTAAAATTATAGACTGATCATTTCTTTGTCAGTGGGCAAACGTACAAAATCAGCAGGGGATCAAATACTTTTTTCCCTCACTGTATACTGTAATAAATAGAGAGCTAGTAATATATCTATTGTAATTTATTCCAAAATTGTTATCTAGTGTTACTGAAACATCTCAAACATATTCTACAGTGTTACTGAAACATGTTCTAGAGTGTTTCTGAAACATTATCTAGTGTTACCGAAACATCTGACCAGGCGCTCCAGGTTTCCTTGCTTCTCTACAGTGTTAATATAGAATATGAATTTAGAACATGAAGGCCTGCCCTGTGGTGTCACAATCACAAGGTAGATAGTTATAACATTATAGCATTCACTCTGAATCATGTGTGTGTGTTTGTAAGTAATTGATGTGCCAATGTAGTGGAATATAACTTAAGAGGTTTTTATTAAATGCAAAATGTGCAACAAGATGGTAAAGTGCAAGATCCTAAAATGTAGTTTATCAAGAACGAAGTGCCAAATTATTCTTAATTATTTTTCATCTTATTTAAAAATCTCCTGAACCAAATACTGCACTGTTAAGAGAATGTAAGCAGAGTGATGTTGCGACTAGATCTATCTAGGTGCAGTAGGATCAGGAGATATATAAACAAATACCCTGTCATTATGCAATTGTCTTTCCAGTTGACCTTCAGTGGTCTAAATGTTTACAGTCTATATTTAGTAACTAAAGGGAAAATAATGATCAAGTGGCATCAAAGGGTTCCGGAACATGATCCACCGGCTGCTAAGAAGAAGAAGAGCATCAAAGGGTTCCAGAACTGCTGCTACAGTTTCAACTGTTCTGCCTGCGGCTATGGAACCCTGACCTGTTCACCGGACGTGGTACCTTGTCCCAGACCTTCTGTTTTCGACTCTCTCTCTGTCTACTGCACCTGCTGTGTCGACCTCTGAATGCTCGGCTATGAAAAGCCAACTGACATTTACTCCTGAGGTGCTGACCTGTTGCAACCCTCTACATCCACTGTGATTATTATTTGACCCTGCTGGTCATCTATGAACGTTTGAACATCTTGAAGAACAATCTGGCCTTAAATGGCCATGTACTGTTATAATCTCCACCCGGCACAGCCAGAAGAGGACTGGCCACCCCTCAGAGCCTGGTTCCTCTCTAGGTTTCTTCCTAGGTTCCTGGAGTTTCCAAAACCCTGTTTTTGCCTTGTCATTATGGGGTATTGTGTGTAGATTGATGAGGGAAAAAAACAATTGAATCCATTTTAGAATAAGGCTGCCCTTGTCCTAACTCGGCTGTTGGGTTCTCTACTGAGGCTACAGGCTGCCCTTGTCCTAACTCGGCTGTTGGGTTCTGGACTGAGGCTACAGGCTGCCCTTGTCCTAACTCGGCTGTTGGGTTCTGGACTGAGGCTACAGGCTGCCCTTGTCCTAACTCGGCTGTTGGGTTCTGGACTGAGGCTACAGGCTGCCCTTGTCCTAACTCGGCTGTTGGGTTCTGGACTGAGGCTACAGGCTGCCCTTGTCCTAACTCGGCTGTTGGGTTCTGGACTGAGGCTACAGGCTGCCCTTGTCCTAACTCGGCTGTTGGGTTCTGGACTGAGGCTACAGGCTGCCCTTGTCCTAACTCGTCTGAAGTGCATCCTGAAGGGAACTTCCTGTACCTCAGTGGAACTTCCTGCTGCTGCTGAATATTTCTATAGCTCTATTCACGTCTACTGAGGGGGCTTGTTCGC